TTCAAGTACGAAGTATGTATGTATTTAACTTGCAAAGTAATATGTTAAGATCGCTGGGCTTATGTTAAGTAGGCAAGTGTTACAAATGCGTTAAATATAAATTTTTTTTCGTACCAGTTTTCTGTCACGTCACTTCAAAAAAATTAGTGAAAAAAATGAAGGGTTCGAAAAGTTTATTTATTGGTCAAGAATTTTTTATAGATACATATTTTGAGCTTTGTTTTTGACAATACATTTGCTTGATTAGTCGAAATATCGCTTTAGGGCGCTATTGCTTCAGCGTAACTTCTCTATTCTTTCTTGAAAGTATAGATACCTATGTATTTCTCGTGTTGTTCATATTTTTACTGATCATATGTATGTATGTATATTATGACTTTTTTATTTCCTGTAAAAATTGATGGTTAAATATGCATGTTTATTCCACTTTTGTTTATATTTTGTTATTATATTATATTTTGAGTTTTTTTTATTTTTCTTAATTTGTTATACACATCACCAGTAAAAAAACTATTTATACTAACAAACGGCTTCTCTGTTTCTACAAATTATTAGGACGATGGTGTCGAAGAGAATGGTCCTCACCTGCCGATGCTAGAAATGCTGATCCCTCAAGGCGGTTATACTCCTCAGTCTTCCTCGGCAGTCCTGGTGAGTAAAAACATCTGTTCATAAACTTAGTACCATTTAAAATTATTATATTGGTATGGTTAGTACATAAATATGTATATGTATGAGTTTATGCTCACGCCTCAATATCGATTGGAAGTCAAATATTTAGACGGCTTCTTTTCCTACCTACGGAGGCAGAGCCAAAGCCAGATCCTTTTTTTTTTTAGCAAATAACCCAAAGAGTATGCTCAAAATCGAGCACAGCTACTCTTTTAGTCCAGGTTAGCTTAGCAAACCTCCCCCTTATTTCTGTAGATACGACAAGAAGCGGTGTCTGTCAGTATCCGATTATTACGCCAACTTCAAATCTTAAACAGGAGCGATCAAGTTGTATAAGAGTTTTAGATCGCTTTTGATTGACTATTGGCCAGAGGCGCTCTGATGTCAGATAGGTGGCTTCCGTGGCCCATCTGCCTTATCGATGTTAACTGGTATTTATTTACAGGAGGTTTGAGATATGTCTACCATCTGAGCAGAATTCACCATGGATATATCTGTCCCTTTTCGTGCCACTCCCTCGGCTGTGCAATTACCACTGATGCCCTGGTATCCATACTAAATTTAATGTATTTTGACGGCATAGTTTAGAATCCTTCTGCACTCTATTACAAGGTTGAAATAGATTGAATGAAATATCCAGCTTACTTTAATACCCCAAACCGATTCCGAGTACCGTTAATTTCTTGATAATCCAATGATCGGATCTAAACTTAATTAGTGTGGGACCACCACTGAGGTACCAGCTTTACTTTAAAAAATTATAGAAATCGGTTAACGTGGTCCAAAGATATGCGGCAACATATGTACATAAAAAAAATATTCCGACGAATTGATAACCTCATCCTTTTCTCAAGTCGGTTAAAGATGCATTATAACTTTGTATGAAATTAGCAATTTTATACAGAATAAAAGCAACAAAAGTCAGAAGAATTTTATTCAGCAAAAACTGATTCAGATTTTTGTTCACTTAAGCAATATGTTTTTCTTATAACTTGTATTTTTATTGTTTTTTTTGTTGGTTCATATGAAAATATAGACAAAACAGAGCAAAAATCAGGACAATCGACCGAATATTTTAATAAATATAAGTGCACAAAAATGACACTTTATAAATTCAAACTTTGACACCTTTTATGGACAAAAACTATGTTTCCTTCATCTTCCTTCGCCTTCTCATTATGAAGAAAATGAAGTACCGGACTATTTGCTACAGATTATGGAATAAAAATTGTTGTTTAGTTATAATATTATGACTCATATATGGCCGAAATTTCGGAATGATATAATCATCGGCCCGCTTTTTAAGACATTTTAAGGCTTTTTTGAGGTTAGATTGGTATGCTTTAAAATAAACGGATTACGCCCAATTTTTGACCGTTCACACATAATGTTATTAGAAATAAAGGGAGAAAATTTCGAGAAGTCATTTATTCTTTCGTGTGCTTTTTGGGGCATTTTTGAGGTTGGGTTTATGTGGGAGGCATACTTTAAGATAAATCGATTATGTCCATTTTTTTTTTTTTTTGAATTCATATACAACGTTATTACCAACATATGGACATAATTTAGGACTCGAGTAATCATCGGTGCACTTTTTATGGCATTTTTAAGACGTTTTTGAAGTTAGATTTATATGGGAGGTATGCTTTAAAATAAATCGATCGTGCCAATTTTTCGTTTCTTTCTTTACTTATGTATGTCCATAAATGTTACATGCAGAAAATTCGGATTCGGGCCTTTGCTCACAAGACATCCTGAGTAGACATTTTTGAATAGAAAAGCTTCTCAGGTAAACTAAATGTCCCACAGAAAATAACTTTCACTAGAATTTTCACTAATATAGAGTTTCGACATACGTATTTGATTGGTGAAGATTTAAACAATGAAATCCATATTCAGTTGTGTAACCAATAAAGAATTTTATAACCGCGAAAAGAGTTTTGTTCCTTCAAAAGCCCTTGTGACATTGTTTAAACTTTGTGTAAAATATTGAAAATCTTAAATTGAAGCTTCGAAGCAAAGCAGTAAAATTGCCTCGAGGCCCAATATAGGAATAGAAAAAGAAAAAGCAATTCAAACAAAGAAGAAAAACCAGAATTAAAACAAAAACAACAATTACAACTATAAACTCTCGCAAAACAATGTAAGAGCGCCAAAGAGAATTTCAGAAGCTACTAGGAAAATACCCGTGTAATCCAACTCAGTAGCTCCAGATATAACGCAATGGTCGAATAGGTTTGAGATGTTGAGCCAAAGACTAAACAGAATAGACAAGTGAAGTACATGGAGCGGTCATAAAGCGAAGCCTGCAGCTGCGGATGCATACTTTGTTGTACCAAAAGTCCATACATACATAGTTATGGGTGGATGGAAAGTAGGGATAGACAATAGCTGGATGAATGACGCAGATGCTCAGATGGATTGCTGACTTTTATCAAGGTAGCCAGAAAGTAGAAGGAAGAGTGATTCACTTGTGATAGAGAAACTGGATATGGCAGATAGGTTGAATTTCTGTTGCCCAACATCAAAAACATACAGGAAAGATGATGCATTTCAAAATAGCTGGGTATTGGCTGTACATATAAGTACTTTCAATGAGTGTGGCTGATGAGGAGTCACACTGAATTGCGTATTTTGCGGAAACAGGTACTATGTTTAGAAGCAAAAAGTATAAAACTTTACAGGAATGAGCAAAGAATGCAACGGCAATTGAATGCCGCTAATAGCAAAGCCACAGTCGCAGCCACTGTCTCAACCGGAGCTATAACCACTGACAATGCTAACCGAAGCTGATGCTGATGCTGATGCTGAGGATAATGATGAAGTCGGCCAACCAACCAGCCATCCATTCAAACAGTCAGCTAGAGAGCCACAGGCAATGCCAAGCAATTCAAAGGCACTCTACCAGCCAGCTATGCCGGCTGCCACATGCCACATGCATACCTACTACGGTAAGTTAACGCATCATCTTGCAGCAAGCAGCCTTGCAGGCTGCTAAACAAAAGCAAAACAAGTTGTAATGGAGTTTAGAGAGAAGGAAGCGCACTTTTGATGCTGCCTTCTAAGGCTATATGGTGCGCTTGATGATATATACCGTTGTTGCTGTGGATTTCTTATTGTGGCTATGGTGTTGGTGGTGGCAGCGGTAGCGGCGGCCGCAGCGGCGACAGCGATGGCGGCGGCGGGAAATGAGCTTCTCAAACACATTTGTGGTATGCATGTCGTAGACGTTGTAGAACAGTTGATAGAACATGCCTGGCTTCCCAGCTGCCGCTTTGCCACGGCTATGTTCATCACACCGACTTCAGTGGCCTCAATGGTCGTGGATTGTTGTTGGTTGGCCTTCAAGTTAGTTGCTTGGTGCGAAATGGCCGCCACACAGCTTACGCACATGCTGAGTATGTATGTTTGTACATAGTATGCGGCGGCAGCGCCAGTTGCCACATGTGGCAGGCATGTAACTGAGTAAGCAAGTAAGTAAGTAGTAGATACATCAACTGGCGAATGGCGCTGGAGTGGAAGGTTGAACGATGGTCGATGGATGGTTGGTTAGCAAGTCAGCTAACTCAGTCAAATCGGCTTAGAGGGACCATCTCGAGAGGGGTGTATGCGGTGGTAGGCCGCATGGCACCGAGATGTTAGTGGTGCTATAGTAGCGATATCAGATATTTTGCTGCAACTACACGTATGTATATACTGGTGCGTCTGTATGTGTGGGAAGTGCGTGCACAATCGCAGGTAATGGACGTAGGCGCATGTTGAGCAACGATGGCTTCTACTAAGGCTAAGGCCGAGAGCCAGCAGGTTGGCAGGCGGAAATTGCATTGTTGAATGATATTTACGCGCCACATAACGTAAAAGTTAAGGCAAGAAAAAAAGCAGCAACCACCGACGATCCAAGCCGGCAACCAAGCAGAATAAGCAAAGTCTGTTGGGTTGTTGGTTTGGGAAGCAGAGATGTAAGTATGCTAGCGTAACTGACTACAGCAGTGACGATGTCGAGCAGCGGCCAGCAGTCAATACACCGCAAGTCACTCAGCTATGAAGCAATGATGAGATAGGCGAAGCGTATTGCCCACCACTGCTCTGTTGTAACTCCTTTACCATTGTGATGCGCCATCATACTTTACATTCTTTGGTTTGAAGCGCAGTTTCTCTGTCTATTGAATCAGTCGCTGCTCCGTTTTTCCATTCGTTGCTTTGGCGCTTCTGTAAGCGTACACATCTATTTTTATTTTATTTTTTTTAACTATGCGCTTTAGATTGAGCCGCAGCTTTAGAATTTGAATTATGCACCGCACAAGCGCGTTAGTGTTGCAGAGGAAAACTCCTTGCCCTCCTTTACACGCATGCGCTCATCGCGCTACGCGAAGCATGGCTTTAAAAGTGCTTCGGCCGAGGCTATTACAGCTAACTTTTGTTGCGCCGTAGTCAGCGACTTCGGCGTTGGCTTCTTCTGCTTCGACAAATCCCATTAAAGGCTATTTTTTCACTTTACTTTTGAGGGCGTTAGTATTCGTCGTTAGCTCTTATGTATGTAGGTAAAAACTTGTGTACATATGTATTTAGTTGTAACATCATCATTGCCTGACGCATTTTGACTTTTATCGAGCATTGGCCGATCGGTCGCGTACATCTTCGTACTTATTTAAGCGTGGTTGTAAGTCTGCATTTATGTCGATTTTCTCGCAGATGCGACGCTAATGGAAATCGTATACTCACATAGCTACATACGCATATACATAAATAATGGCGCTTGGTTGAGTGTATAGATTTTAGTTTGCGTTGTCATGGGTTAAAAGGCCAAGTACTCGTACTGTAACGTTGGCTTGGAAATACATACTTTAAAACGTACATATATAAAGTTTTAAGATATACATTATTTCTTCTTTTAAAACTGAAAATCTGTCTACGCGTGGAGATCCAAATATTATCTATTACTGCAGATTTTTTAGCGTCAATAATTCTTTAGAATGAAT